AAGTATTTAAAAAAAAAAAAGCTTAGAAATATATACACACAGTTTTAACAATCCTTTAAAATTCCCCACTTTTTTTAAAAATTATTATTATTATTATTATTATTATTATTATTATTATTATTATTATTATGTGATGAACATGTCGCTGTTCACCATTTTTTACATACGGCTCGCTTTATTTTTTCCCCTCTTTACACCCCATTCGTTTTATCTTTTATTTATTTACCTATTTTTAAAACTCATATTATGAAAATACATATGGGTTTACAGAAAATTAAACATAAGCTCTGATACCAAACTGTAACAGCCCAAATTTTTTTAAGCTTCGATCGTTACTAAAAGTTTCATTCCCATAGTTAAATAAACTTATCAAATATTTTCAAAACATATGGAAACATAATCAATTGAAACTCGTCTCAAATCCTAAATAAGAAATTTCATGTGGAAATAAAACTAAAATAACAGTGAAAAATAAAGATCCATAGTCATGTTACTTCGAATTATTTTTACTGAATTCCATAATTTCTAGCATCACGATTACAGTTCATCGCCCATCAATCAACGACTCGTTTTAACCTATGAGGAGTATGAAAAAATGGGGAGTATATGGGAATACTCAGTAGGACACAAAAAATTATAGTGCAGTCCTGAATAAAAATATTTAAATCATGAGTCAAAAATATCATACCATCATATCTTTAGAAATCGATAAAAGCTCAGTAAATATCATATTTTTGGTACCGGATGACCATAACATACATATCATATCTTTAAACTTTCATAAGTATAGTAATTCAATAACATGAAAATAAATAATTTAAACGAGATAAGAAACTGCACCTCATTAGATCAAATAATTTGAAAGAGAATACCAAAATCTCACTCCCCAAATCTTTATTTTTCTACTAATCTGCCATATGTAAGCATATCTATATGTTCTGCAGTGCAAAATAATAAAAACTTCTTGTACCATGTTTAAAGTTGAAAATGAATATTAATTTATGGTAACATTTAACCACAAGAGCAAAGTACTACAATCAATATTCCAAATAAATAATAATAATAATAATTTATCCCCAACAACCCAACACGTGTCAACTAATCCGTACAATCCTAAATTCAAAAATAAAATATTTCAATTCACGTGACACAACCACATTTACATCCAAAGTTTTAATTGATTTGAGAAACTAGTTTCCAACAACTTCTTCAAATTGCAATTTCTTGGTACTAAATCATCCTAATGGACTTATTCTCGAGCTTAATATACATGATTAATTACGAACTATCTAACGAGTCTAGTGTTGATATATTTATCTTTGATCTATCAAAATCTAAATATTTGGCCTAAAAATTTGAATTAACCCGTATATTACTTTAGTCCCCCAACTTTTCAAATTTAAAAATAATATATAAAATAATTAATTTTAGTATGTGAAAATATTCGGGATTTACACTTATACTAGTTCGTAACCTCTTGTTTCCCCTGTTCAGTCTCTCGGATTTTCATTGTAATCTCATAGATATTTGTGAAATTTCACAGGTCCGAATAGGTTCCAATCACACCGTCCAAATTTCTTTAGCAGTTGGAAGGAATATATACGTTTCCCCTACTTCCGTCTCCATTGCATCATCAGTGTCCTATTTTGGATATTCCACTGTGTTTTCGACTCGTTGGCATAGCCCAACTTTCCTTTTCCTCAAAGAACCAAGTCAATAAATTATGACCATTATAGATTATTCTTGCCATGTAATTTGTGAGTTATGAATTGGAGAAATTAGTTTTCATTTAATGATTGGATACGGTTATTTCTAAGGATTGGACCAGACTTGTCTATGATACCGTGGGACAATTTAATTGGAGAAGGAAAAATATGTATTTCATTCATTTACAATTTCTGGATTATATATTTATCAATGTGATTAAAATTATAGACCCTCTTTAATAAAAGTACTAAGTTAAATGTTTCAATAATTACTCAACTTATATCATTGACAGTGTCTAGTCACTGTCTTTAAAAAATTACAACTCAGTCAATGCATCCAACCAAAATTTTCATTACTCACTCAACTTATACTATGGTCACTGTTTACTTATCATATTTCAAAATGCTTTCCAATGATCACTAATCTTTGAGAGTTGCATGTGTCATAAGAAAATCATATGTGATAAGTTACAATCATTAAAAATTTAGAACTCGGCTAAATCATTCAACTTACCAAAAATTTCATATGTGAAATGCGGGTCCATAAACTTTTTTAAACAGTTTCAAAATTCAACCCTAAAAACCCTAGTCCCCAATTCACTTATCTCACCCACCTACGACTCAATTGTATACTTAGACAGGATCGACTATTGAGAAGAATTGGAGAAACTGCAATTTATATAATCATATCCCCCAATCACTACTAAAAAAATATGGCTTCAGGCACGGATGTTCCGTTCCTGAAACTTTGATATCCGTTGTTATTATTCTTTACCAACGAAATATTTGCAACCGTGGATCCGTTGTTAATTTGAGGGTCGCTGATAGTTATCAACAGATCCTGCCGTAGGTAAAGAGTAAACATTTTACCAACGAATTTTCCGTTGGTAAAGTGTGAATCTTTTACCAATGAAATTTTCGCTGGTAAAAATCTTTACAAATACCAACCGACTTTTCGTTGGTAAATATCTATCATTACAATTGGTAAAAATCAATGTTGTAAATAGCCACATAGGTGTGAGACATAGTAAAAAATAATAATAATAAATAAAATAAATAAATATTTATCATTTTATTATTGTTATTATTATTTATTTAATAATTCTAATTTTGTAACTTTTAGCCAATCGAATTGAAATGTCAAAATATTGTTTAATCACTTATTGGACAACAAATTAATTTATAGAGGGCAACTCCAAAGACTTTGTTGTGAACTTTTGATGTTGGATAAGTGAATTACTTTTATCAACGAATAATCCGTTTTTAATTACCGACGGAATATCCGAAGGTGAAAGATTCAAATGTTAAATGATTACATGAGGCACGGAATATCCGTTGGTAAAGAGATATCATCGTTACCAATGGAAATATGTTACTGATTATCGTAGTTGAAAGTGAATTATTTTTACCAATAGATAATCTGTTTCTAATTACCAATGGATTGCATCCGTTGGTAATATTCAGTACGTCACCTATGATTATTCCGTAGGTGAAAGATCTAAATGTTCAACGGTTACATGATGCATGGAATATCCATTAATAAAGAGATATCATCATTATCAATGAAAAATTCGTTGCTAATTATCGTAGCTGAAAATGAGTAACTTTTACTAACGGATAATCCGTTTCTAATTATAAACGGATTGCATTCGTTGGTAATTTTCTGTTGGTGAAAAGCTGTTTTTTAGTAGTGAATTGTACCATTTGTCAGGTGTCTCTCTAATCCTAATCTTCTATTTTGCAGGCATGTGTTAAATCATTTAAGGAATGAAATGTCTCGAACTCAATTCAAACTAAGAAACAAAGAACAACAAACACAAATACAGCTCAAGAGGTATTTAGATCGTATACTAGCCATCGGAGTTCGATGACATTTCCTTTCTTAAATGGTTGGACACATGCTTGCGAAAATGAAAGATTGAGATTAGAGAGACTTCGAGCAGATGGTACTATTAGGATTTGGACAATATAAGTAGTAGATTCTCACATCCTTCTCAATAATTAACTCTATCTTAGTACACAATTTAGTTTTACATGGGTAAGATGGGGAAATATGGGGCTTTGTTTTTCTAAGCTAAAATTGGGGACGAACAATTTGGCTTAAAGAAGTTCATGGGACCTCTTTCACGTATGACGATTTTGGTGAGCTTTGGCCGAGTTGCAATTTTTTAATAGTTGTAACTTGTCATGTGAGATTTTCGTGCAACACGTCATCAATGACGAGAATGAAATCTGCGGATGATGAATGGAGTGCATCTCTAAAAAATGAGTGACCACTGTAAAGCATTTTGAAATTTAGTTTGTAAATAGTAACCACAGATAGGTTAAGTGAGTAATAAAACATTTTACTTTGATGGTTTGGTTGAACTATAATTTTTTTAACTGTCATAACTTGACACACGTGGCATTTCATTTGGCACGTCAGTAATAAGGGGAACGAAATTTTGATGAATAAGGTGAAGTGCAAATGGGTGAAGTTTAACGTGCATTGTAAAGAACTTTGAAATTTAGTGAATAAATTGTGATCATGATATAAGTTTAATTTCGAAAGTACTTATTTGAAAAATTACAAGCTTACCTTTAAGATATTATTTCAAAAGTAAAACATATAAGGTTTTTACTTTTATTTTATTTTTCCAACTAACTTTTTTTAAAATATGTTTTCATTTTATTTTAAAAAAAGGGTTTTTAATAAGTTTTTATTTTATTTATTTTCTTAAGGAATTTTTTTAAATAACTTTTTGTTTTATTTTATTTTTTTAAGTAACGTTTGATTAAATAAGTTTTTATTTTATTTCATTTTCTAAAATGAGGTTTTATTTTATTTTATTTTATTTTTAAAATTTATTTTATATATATAATGCAAATTGCTGTTTTACTCCTTTTAAAATTAGCGAAAATTGTGAATAAGATTTTCTTGGTGAAACGTTATATGAAATTAGGTGATCATGGTGAAATAAAATCAAATTGAGTGATCATGCCATGGTAAAATGAAATTAATACCCCATTTGGCCCCATTTAAATATCATCAATTTAAATTAAATTTTTATCTTTCCTATTTTCAGCCACTTAATTTTTAATAAAACAATATTACACGTAAATTTAAAATTTTTCAAATTTTTATGATCACTCATTTTTCAAAAAAATATTATTTCTCTCATTATAATGCAAATTAACGGGAGCCAAAGGGGGCTAAATTGAATGATAATAACACAAAGTATAAAATTAAATGACAACCCAAAACCTATATAAAACAACAACAACAAAAATAAAATAAACATGAAGAGTCCAACTTGCAAAGCCAACTCATATTCCCACTAAAACACCATCTCTTAGGATATAGTAGTTATATATAAATATCTATACCTATTGATCTCACCATCAACTTCCTCTCTGGCGGCGGCGGTGGTGCTGTGGTGTCGACGCATTACAATCAAATAATCCCTTTGGCCGCAAATCATAACTGTCAAACAAAACAAAAGAGATGGCGCCGCCGGCAGCAGGTGGTGCTGAAGTTGCTGCTGGAGGGAGGCAGCAGCAAGGAGTTGGTAAGATGCTTACTGGAATAATTAGGGTGGCAGTTTTCTGGTACTTCGCTTCCAAATTCTTCAGTCCGAAGCGATCTCCCACCGAGCCATCTCAACAGATCTCCAATCTCTTTCAAAGAGGCGAACCTTTGGTCTCTCTTTAATTCTACATCTGTATATATGTTTATACAAGTCTGTGTGTGTGTTACAAATTGAAATACATAATGTCAAACTATGTAAATATCAGAACTCTGGATAATTGAGTGCCGACGAGGAAATAAATCCAAATAATTGATTTGCATGGGATACATGATGATATTTTTGTGTGTAATATATTATATATGCTTGCATGAACACAGATTAACACGTATCATAATTATGTTGAAGTTGTCTAGGTGAAATTTAAATTAATATCTACATTATAGTTCTACCGAAACAGTGACTACTCTATGTTCCTAGTTTGGTCTATTAGGCGTGTTTCTCCTGGTAGGATACAATTCAGAGAATTAATTGACGATGTTGAAAGTAGAAATTCACATATTCACTATCATTTATGTAAATTTGATTACAAAAGGTTTAGTGCAATGGTGTTATTACAAGGGTGGAATCTTTAATCAAACTGTTAGACAGGCATCATAATGAAATGATGTTGTTAAGAAGTAAAATGCTTCACAATATATTGATTATAGATATCTTGTGGACTTGAAGTTAGTTAGAAGAATTGACCTTTTGACAGACTAGAATTTTTGAAACATTTTGGAATGGAGTTCTTGAACAATGCGAACTCTGAATCATATTGCTCTAAAGGCTGGAACTCAAAGATCTTGAAAAGTGGCATTGCTGCTTCCGACAAATAGGGTTTTTTTTTTTTTATTGAAGTTTTCACCATACTTCGAATGTTTGATTAGCAAACTGAGACTGTTTAGAGTAAATAATTCTTAGTCATGTTATTCAAAATTGCTGAATCTGTGGGCCTTGAAAGTAGGGTTGTTCAAGGTGTGTTGGTGTTCGAAACAGGGAATTTTCATTCAACCTGTTGTAAAGACCACCGGTTTCAAATGTTCTATGAATCGGTGAAGAGGCTCATTTAGCAGTTTTTAGTGTCAATGCTTAGTGATTGTGAATAGGCTTGTTTAGCAGTTTTCAGAAACATTGTTAACCAAGAGAAACTGTCAAACAAACTGTTTGGCAGTCTTAACTTTTTTGAAGTATTCTGTGGAATATGGTTGTCTAGATGATTTTGTGACCAAATTATTAAAAATACTGGAGCTGAAAGGATCAGAGATTCCATGGCCTTTGAAGGGTGATATTGCATTAGAAAGAATAATGTTTGATTAATTTGTTCACTTTTGATTCCTGCAGGCTGCAACTAAATGACAATAGAATGAATTAATGGTTTACGGCTTAGTTTAAGAATTCAGAACTATTAGCTGGCATTTAACAAATAGGAACTGTCAATTTAACTTTTCAATATAAATGTGCTTGGTCAAGTGTTTACAAGTCCTTGAGGAGTGCAAGGGCTGTTGTTCTAATTCATGTGGAGAAATTGGATTTGATTGTGACTCATGAGGTGATATCAGATGAGAGACAAGTGGGCATTAACTGACTCTTAAAAGGACCTGAAAGTTTTGGACTGGCAAGCATCATATTTGAGATACTGTCCCGCAATTAAGCTAGAATTGTCATTATAGGATTATTCATTGAAGCTCATTTGGATCGATTCACATGGGATTTAGTAAGTGTTGCCTGGTCTTCTTTTGGATTATCCAAAATCAAAATAAGAGATTCATAGTTGTAATGTGATTTTTCCATATCACCCAATTTTGTCTAGTATCTCATATTATGGAACTTTACATAGTAGTATGGTTTTACCCTTTCTAGGAAGTTGATGAATAATAGCATTATTTTGAATCAATTGAATTGGATCAGTATTTCCTCCAAATGAATCTGTTAGAGTATATAATGAGTTGCTAGTAACACAAACCAAGAGAATTTGGTCCCTATATAATGAGTTGCTAGTAACACAAACCAAGAGAATTTGGTCCCTAATTTTGGCTCAGATTTTGGCTTTAAACTCACTACCTCATGACATAGGCATGCTGCTTAGTGTGTGTTTCAGAGTTGATATTTTGACTTTTTGATAACTACCTTACATCCAATCTCATGATCTCTGGAATCTTGGTCTGGCCTATTTACTGGGGAAAGGAAGGGATAGACAATGTTTGGGACTTGGGAAGTCGAAGCTTGTGCTGTAGATGAGAAGCGTAAAGGAATATTAAAAATAGCTACTCCCTTTACTGAACTTTTGTTTTTAGACATCTGACATTACATATTGTTTCACTTTGGTGTAAGTATGACAATTTCTTCAGTTTATCCCTGTAATTGCCCTCGAAATGAAGTTGCGGCTATTTCTTTCCAGGATATGTGGTTATACCTTTCGGAAAAGGAAAATTTTATTGATTTTGGTGGATCTCCTGTTTGGCACGAGACAAATATACCTTATGCAGTTTGGAACCCGAAGAGCACCAGAACTTTATCATTGAAGTATCATCCTTCTGAGGTATTATTTATTAGAGAATATGGTGCTAATGATGCATTTTTATTTCAGCTTCTCACTTCACAATTATGAATACTTGTGTTCTGGAATTCCCCTGGAAGATGATGAAATTGGTTTTCATAATTCATTCTCTATGCATTGGTATCTATTAAATGTCATTTTTGACTTGAATCTCAGGCTCTAAAGCGCAATGGGAGTCTTTATGCTCATGTTTTCTTTGCACGTTCTGGCTACCCACCAGATCCCAACTATCCCGAGTACGAGCCATACACTGCTTTTGGGCGGACCTACTGTAAGATCATGGTTACATTTTAAGTTTTCAGTTATCTTTTTACAGTTTAGAATGAGACATTATTGGTGTATAAAATGTAATAAGATCTTCTTGTCTATAGCTGTTGTAACATATTTGCCCAGGTCGAAAGCTGACAAAAAGAAGAGTCTGTTGGGCGACTCAGAAGACTCCACTGATGGTGAAAATGTGTCTGAGGTATTCATCTTTAGATAATATTAACTTACTCTTTACCCATTCATCCTCAGCAATGCTGTTAAATTGCTTGATTCTTCATTTCCTTTTTTCTATCTGATTTGATTATTGAGCTTTCTAGATGTTAGAAATGCCATCTTATTGAAGTTGAGATTTTCTCTCTGTCCAAGATTTTGTGAAAGCCAGGCATGATTAAGAAACATTAACTGTTGATTCAGGTTGTTGGCGATGCTCAAGTTGATAACAAGGAGGACAGACCAGTTGAATGGATTGCATATTGGAAACCAAACATGACAATAAATTTAGTTGATGATTTCACGAGGTATACTTGTCTTAACATCCGTTTCTGAAATGTTTATAAACCGTCAAGCTAGTAGTTATAATGTAGCTGCAACACGTTTGAATAGTTTCTTGTGCTACAAGAGAGAGCAAGCCAATTCTTATTTCCAATAAATTTAGCATCAGCTACATAGGTCCTTTTTCGCACTCGCCATTCCATCTATTTGGACGATCCAGTGCAATGAAATCAATCCTATGCAATGTCAAGTCATTTTATTTTTTATCTAACTCTCCCTCTTGCTACCTGTTCTAGTGACAATTGCATGACCAATTTCTTCAATGGGGTACCTTTATTCAACGTGAAACATAGCCTGCAATTAGCCATATCCCTTTTTTTGTTATCGACCATGATCTGTACCCCATCATACTTTCATTTTATCCATTTAGAATAACTACAAATTCCTTTTCACATCTTCATTTTTTCTCCATTATCTGATGGGCATATTTTCCATTGAAAGGCCCAAACTCCTCAGTACCATAAGTGTAATGTCTATTAATTGTTATATGGAAATGGGCTTTTTATCCTGTAGGGATCTTCATATCCACACAATTCCTGTAGTACTCTCCATCCTATATATTACATTATCATCAAATTCCTCATTGTTATAATCGAACTAAATATCTATAACAAACACTTTTTGAGAAAAAGATATCCCATGTGGTAACTCCAATATTATCCTCATTCCTACAATTACTAAGATGTCGCTGTCTGGATTCTGCATAATTTAAATAGCACATGGATGTAGTTGGTTTTTTGCTAATTAATAACTTTAACTGCCACCGCCAGCAGAATAGTTAAAAATGTCAACCGGAATGTTTCAGTTTCTCATATGGCAGCATGATGGCTGAGGGCAATCTGATTTTGGAGTCTTTTCTGCAAATTAGTTGTGAGGATTTTGCCATATCTTGATGCATTGCTTGCCAATGCGAATTGAAAATTCCCCTTAGTCCCTTTTAAAAAGCTCCTTCCATGGGTAGCAAAGTCACTTGGGGTTTACAAAAAAATCAATTTAATATTCCTAATTAATAGAACCAGGAAAATTAGAAATGATATAATTTATTTTAGGTTTTTTCCAAGTTAATGATAACTAATTGACCTTTTTTTCCATTGTTATGTCTTTCATATCTCTAATTGATATGGATTTACAATAGATGTGCTTGTTTTGGGATTTTTTTACAGATATTCTGCCAATGCAGTTCCACCAAATATTGCTCCTTGTATCCTTGAATTCTCATATTCAGTCTAATTCACTCTTTATTGTTTGCCTGATTTCTGTATTAAACATTATTTGTTGTTCTTGTGGATGGTTGAGTTTGATATCTTCCTCCTTTTATTAGGACTGTGCAAAGGCCTCGGTCTCAATTTATTTTGCTTCCTGTATCTTCAATAATTTGCAAAAGTCTTATTCCCATCCCCCTCTAGAAACGTGGGACAAGAAGTTCATGGTGGCCATGCTATATTTTCCTCTTTTGGCCAATTCACGGGAGTATTGACTTGGCTAAAACTGAAAATGATATGATTCTCATTTGGATTAATATCTTGATCAAAATTAGAATGATATTTTTGTTTCTTTCTATTAGTTAGAATATGATCGCAGAGATGCAGGGAATGTACTTGGTCACATCTTCCTTTTCAAATAACCTTATCTTAGATCAATTTTGCGTACTATGTGGATTACCACATCCACAAATTTTTGTATGCATATACCTTTTATTTGGGTGCAACATTGGTCCATCTACTAGTGGAACAGATAAATCTTTTAATGATCATTCATGACTTCGGCTCTGTAGAGTTGTAGTCTGTCTGGAAAATTGCAGCCTTTTTATTATGATGTGTATGCAGTTGATGTTCTACTATATTTCTCATAGGAAACCATGTCAGTACTGATTGTGGAAAACTTTTTTTGTTCTAGTATTTGCAATGTACATTTGGTCAGAGTTAGTCAATGTCCAGCTGTATTTATCTTCAAGCTACAGTGTCAAAAGTGTTCTGATGTTCAAATTCCTTGACTCGAAATCTAAGACTTGAATATCGAGCCTAGCCAGCGAAGCTATTATCCAACTGTCTTCTTCAATGAGTTTTGGTTACTTCGAGATAAGTTAATACCAATCAACGAGACAGTGGAGGAGTTACCACTGCATCTGGAAGTAGGTCCCATAAGCATGACCAAATGGCAGCTATTCCTGCAGATGGATCAATCTTTCCAGATCCACAGGACTTATGGAAGCATGCTGGAAGGCGAAGCTGATGAACTTAAGGTATTTATTTAATATTTTCCTGCAGTAACTTGACATGCATAAGGGTTCGGATGGGATAACATTCAGTATCACGAGATTCACCCTGTTGTTTAACACTGTAGACTTGCAGATAACTAGAAGAAATTTGGAAATTTTGCTGAAAGCAAGTACTTTGGAAGGTTGCTTTGCAAGTGCAAAAGTTAAGGAATCAATTGAAAGATATATGATTGCAATTCCAAAGGAAAAGAAGAAAATGTAAAATTAAGGCTATTGAAGAGAAAAAAGTAACAACACGATAATAGTTAATTAGCATAGGACGGTTTACTTTCATATCCGGGAATATGTTTTATGCTTTTAAGGATCCTTCAATAGAATTTGGGTGGACCTTTGTTCAAGATTCATACTTGAGTACTAGACTGATTAGGAGATGATGTTGTAAGATCATTCAACCATACATATTAATGCCTCTCTAGTCATTTGAGTAAAATATTTAACATATTGTAATTTGTAAGTTTTCACTGCAATTTGTAGGCTGCTCTTTGTTTAGTGTGTGCGATTTTAGTAAATGTCATAGGATTCTAATGTTATGAATGCTACTTCTTTCTTCTTTCTGCTTTCTGCAGTCATTCTGCATCTTTATATCTTATGTGGGGTTTTGATTCATTTGATTATTTTCGCAGAGAGTCTTCCTGGAAGGGAATCCATACCTTCTGGCAGTAACAATGGTTGTTTCAGTGCTACATTCTGTATTTGACTTCTTGGCTTTCAAGAATGGTAATGGCAATGGTTGTAGTGTTTTTGGATCTTACCATGGAATTGCTTTTTCTGCCATATGAAAATACGATATTTCTGTGCAGATATTCAGTTTTGGAATAAAAACAAGTCCATGGAAGGACTGTCTGCAAAGTCAGTTATCGTCAACTTTATTTGTCAGCTTATTGTCTTCCTCTATCTTCTTGACAATGAAACTTCATGGATGATACTTGCAAGTTCTGGTATTGGTTGCTGCATTGAGTTCTGGAAAATAGGAAAAGCCATGCACATTGAGGTATAACTTCTACGAATAAAGTTTCATCTAGACTTCTACATTTGAAACTTTGGAAAAGTTTATTGACTTAAACATTTAGCTCCTCTTTCATATTTGACTAACCTAATACTAGTACCATGACGCAAATTGTTGATATTGTAATATTATGTGGCTTGTGAAAGCATTACTTGGTCATCAATTTCTTAACACTGCTTGTTAATTATTACATAGATTGAACTAGAATTGCTATATTCATCCGTTTCATATCGTCTTCTTGACCAGCTTGACAGTTCTGGTAAGATACCAATGTTGAGGTTCCGAGACCGGGAGTCATATGCTAAAAACAAGACGAAGGAATATGATGATCTTGCTATGAAGTATTTGTCATACATTCTTTTCTTGCTTGTTGCCTGTTTCTCTGTGTACTCCCTGAAGTATGAACGCCACAGGAGTTGGTACTCTTGGATTCTCTCATCCCTTACTAGCTGTGTTTATATGTTCGGTAAGCATCTCAGATCTTGACAATTTTATTTTCCCTTTCTACTTTATTCTCTCAATTAAGACCTAACTTCTATTCATGTAATTTTTTTTCCGGTTTTCGTGAATGAGGAAATCTTTAGAATCCTCACGGTCCCCTACTTTCACTTCTCACCTCTCATTGTACTTTTGTTGATTACATTGCATTCTTTATCAGGGATTTGAAATTTTGTTTCATGCTGATTTGCTTTTTACTAAGTGATTAACTGTGTTAAAGTAATTATGGACCAAAGCATGCAGTTTCTATGATATAACTAAATAATTCAGGAAGGAAGAGAAAAATAATCTGTTGAATCTACTAATCGTTAGGCAAGAGAAATTAAATTGTCATAAAGGAATGAAGTGGAAATTTATCTGTTGAATCAAATAAAAAGTTGGGCAACATGAGTGAATTGAACTGCATCTATTTGCCTAATATTGGTTCTCTGGAGGGACCATAACACAGTGCTAGTTATGGGGTGGAAAAATTATATTTTAACAATGAGATTGTTTGAATTGTTCGTTTCCAGATAGGAGGAATCAACAAAACTAGTTAGATTCCCATATGTTTCTTGCCTTTGTAGGGCTTATGGTTTATAATTTTGTTCCTCTATTCAGCTTGTATAGTGGGGTTACCCCTTCCATGTTGAAAAGAAACAAATAAAGGAATTTGCATTGCAGACCATAGAATTTGATTCATCGTGATTCTCATCAGAGTCTTCTCAATAGTCCAACAGCACTCTTTAATACTAATTGTTGGTAGAATATTGGAAATAATATAATTATTTTTCATTGATTCTCTGCAGGTTTTATTATGATGTGCCCTCAATTGTTCATCAATTATAAGCTGAAGTCTGTCGCGCATTTACCTTGGAGGCAAATGACATACAAATTTCTAAACACGATCATTGATGATCTCTTCGCATTTGTAATTAAAATGCCAACACTGCATCGGCTTTCTGTTTTCCGTGATGGTGAGTTACTGATCAAGACTTTGTATGCCTTTATTCCTGTGATATTTGGATAAAAGGGCGTATGCTGAAATTTAGTAATAGTAATACAAATACTGATTGATGGCACTATTTAAAGTTTTAGCCTTTTAGGTCAACTTGTGAATTCAAGCATTTTACATAAAAACAAGTTTTTAACTTGTATAGCCATTGTAACATGGTAGGAAAACTCATAAAGAGCCCACATTTGATATGGACGTAAACGGCTGAAAAAGTTAAACACACACATTTGATATGGATGTTAAGGCTGAAAAAGTTAAACGTAGGAGTGTGTAAGAATCTGATGAGGTTTAAGTGTACAAGGCAGGGTAATTTTAGCCCCTGTTTGACAACCATTAAAATGAGTTTTTTGTGGGAAAAATGAGTTGATTTTTTTTGGAGAATGTGTGGTTAAAAAGAAGGAAAAAGTTTCTATTTATGTTCAGAACATTTTATCCCGAGAATATGTGATTGAAAATGAGTTTAAGAAAAAAAGAATGTTATTTTAATGATTGTCAAACGGGGGCTTAGTGTTATTTGTACAGTAATATTAGAATAATTTTTGGGATTGTGTTAGGTTTTAAGGACTTGAGAGAAGTTGACAGGTTTGATATTGAAGAGAGAATCATTTTCTAGATTGACAACAAATAATGAGTCTAGTAATAATGGAATTTCAGCATTTTTTTGGCTAAGTACCTTTTAAGTACACTTTGAACCCCATGCTTGAATATATTCTAGACATCCATTTTCTTGTTCAAATGATGTTCCAAATACAATTTAATGGTATTGGCTAGAATTGGTCCTTGCAATCAACTAGTGAATTTTAATACTGCAAACTTATCCCTTTTGGCTCAAAAAAGGGTGGCAAAAATTACAGATCTTAATTGCTTCATCAGCTCTCTCTTTTCTCCCTTTTTGACCCAATGGTGGTATCAGCAACGGAATTTAGCTTATGCCTTTGCTGAACACCAACTCTAGTGTAACACAATACTGCTGAACCACATGGCCTCGTGTTTGATACCGGTGTGTTTTGATTTTGGAAGGTAATATAGAATTGATAAGTCAAACTATATATGGTAATCATCTTGAAGTCTAATTAATTAACATCTTTATATCATCACTAGTATCTGTTTGGTGGTCTAAATACATCTAATATTCATTGTTTATAACATGGTATTCTTTCAGTTGGGGATTCAGTTTTGCATCTGCTATTTTGGGTTTATGTATATGACATGTTTGTTATCTCTTTGGCTTGCAGATATCATATTTTTGATATATGTGTATCAACGATGGGTTTATCCAGTGGACAAGAAAAGAGTAAACGAATTTGGTTTCGCTGGGGAGGATGATCATGCCTCTAGTAGTCCAGATGCCATAGAACAAAAGGAAGATGAGAAGAAAACTAACTAATCTTGTTTCATTGAAACTTTTTGATATTTTAATTGCATAAAAAAAAAAAAGTAAAATTATGACCTAATATTCATTTTCATCTCTAGTTATGTACTTGTCAGAGAGTTTCTCTGTAGGTATTAATTATTTTGAGACGTTCCATTCGATTAGTTTCACATACATGAAAGATTGCCTCTCTGATAATGATATGGTTGGTTTCTAAAGTTCTGTAATTTGTTGTTACTATAATATGCCATTTTATGGGAATGGGAGATTGAAATTTAGAGAAGATTTCTGGGCAGTTTTTACATATTTTCAAATCGTTCGAACCAAAGTTGAGAAAAACTAAACATAACCCAGGTGTTTTGGTTTGGTTTGGTTTAAAATCTTGATTTCTTTGCAACATGTATATCATTATAAAATATTTTTATACTTTATGGCTTTAAAATAGAATAATTTAGTGTATATTAAACTGTAAATTTATTAAAGTCTACAATTAGTTTTAATCACATATTATATGGAATTCACAATTTTTTTATCATACATTTCATAAATTTTTATAAAATTTAAGAAAAAATTAATTATAATCTCGCATATTTCAACACAATTACATAAAATTCATAGCAAAAACAATGACAGTGGTTTGTTTACCTATTTAGTTTTGGGAAAATTTCATAATTTAGGTGTATTGTTTACACCAATTCAAAAATCACCTAAATAGTCAAGTGGCAGTATGAATTGTGTAAGTTATGGATTCCAAATTGCCTTTCAATTTGGTTTATGATATAGTAAGACTACGTTTAGTTGTGACGGTTTTTCCATTTTTGGCCCATGTTTCTTCTCAACTTTAATCTACTAGTGGGAGACTCTGTTTAGCTGTGTAAGTTATGGAATAAATTTTATTTTTATTTTCATTTTTCAAGATGTAGAATGTTAGAAAAAATGAATTGTTTGTTAGAGATTTTCTTAAAATGTCATTTTGGACATCGTGGACCTATCATGATGCCTGTTCAAGTCATGGATCATGAAAAGGACAATGGTTTAAAGGGATGGATCGAAGAAGCGGATAAACGAAGTGGCTGACCGATCAAGGCCACAATGGTGCAGCCTGCCTGCGGTCGGCTTTTGCCGACTAGTAAGGCATGTAGACGCACTTGTTACAGCCTTCTGCAACAAACATGCATGTACGTGGTTTCAACCATTTTTTGGCTCTTTTGTGATGTAATGGAGGTCAATGATTATCAAATTCAAGATATGCACTAATTTAAATAGAATTTTCTAATTTTTTATTCTTACTTATTTGCTAAATATTCCAAATATTCAAATCAAGATGTACAATTGGTCCAATCATATGAAAGAAAACCAATAAAAGCAAGTCCTACAGCCAATCCAACAGCAATAACAGAAGCGACAAAATATGAACTGAAGACTGAACCTTGATATACCCCTGCACAATACAATTTTATTACCACGAGACATATTGGCAGTCGCTGATCGACATTTTGTACCCAAAACAAACGCGCTACCAAGCTACGCCACATCCCTTCAATTGTTCTACAGTGTCATCTACCCACTTGTGTCGATTTCCGGTACAGTTACCCTTTTGTTTAAAGGTTGTTCGAGCTTACGGAAAGGAGATTAAAGTTTGAAATTCAGGACAATATGGGGTTCAGTCCATTCGTTCGTTAATAGGCACCAAGGAGATGACGTACCGGGTAGAATCATTGCCGACATAGCAAACACAACGTCCTTCTACCATTTAGGATATATTCAAATGATATAGTTCGAAGTATCGCCTCCATCCCAGACCGCAACTAAACCACCTGTAGTTTGCAATGCACTGGAATCAAAATGGACAGTAACTAGAAACAAGTCCACTGCTTGGGCAGCAAACAATGTAAGAATTTTTAATTAAAGATGGGCTTGTATGTGTGAATAATTGTGTGTTAAATTATAGGCTATCGAATTCGGTTGAGCCCAATTAAAGTGATCTAATAAGGATTTGATTTTGGATTTTAATGTATCCAGTTAAAGTATGAGTTTACATATGTGTAGAGACTGGGCCTAAGTCCTAATTCTATGATGGGCCGAATTAGGTCATAGGGCATCCCTATATAAATAGGTTATGGTCCACAGATCACACGCAACGTATTATTCATTCTCTACTGCATCTCATCACAGAGAGGAAAAGGAGACTGCGTGTAGATTTGGAAGACCATACCGCGAAATTCATATTGCATTAATCATGTCTGATTCAGGTATGCTTCCGCTTTAATTCTTGTATTTCTTGATGATTTAACATGAGAGATCCAGTAATTTAAAGCACTAAATTATCCAATAAGTGGTATCAGAGCCTCTTCATATTTAATCATTGAAAATCGAATAATATAATTTGGTTCTTGCAATATACTTGAAATTTTCAGATTTAACAATTTTTGGTTATATATTTTGTTAAATTTGAAAATTTTTTTGCGGTATAATTCTAGTTATTTTCGAAATTCGGATTAATGGTTGAAAATATTCAGATTTTCGATTTTTGGGTTCAGATTTCTGTATGTAAAAAAAAAAAAAATTATTTAAGGAGATCCCGCCTCCGGCGTCTGCAGCGGGCTGTTGCGCTGCAAAACGCAGCAGCGTAGGGCTGCTGCTTGTGCGGTACCGGCGTGGGTCGATGCTGCTTTCTTCGCGGCGCTGACCGCTGGCGCCGCTAGGAGAAGAAAGAAGAAATTTTTTTTTTAAGGTTTTCTGATTTTAGGTTGAATTTAGGGGCGGGGGCCTCTTCTGTAAATTAGATGAATTGAGGTCCTCAGTTGCAATTAGGGTTAGGGTTATAAAATTAAGGTTTCAGTCCCTAACTTTTAAGTTATATTAAGTTTTGGGCCTTTAAGTTTCGGATTTAATAATTCAGTCCCTAAGGTTTTAAAATTAATTAATTCGGGCCATTAAAGTTCTAAATTTATAATTAAAGCCCTCAAACTTTAATCACTAGTTCAAATTGGCCCCCTAAGTTCATAATTAATTCAAATTGACCCCTAAAGTTTCAATTTTTTTTTAAAAATTTGATCCCTAAAGTTTTGAATTGGTCAATTTGGCCCCTAAAGTTTTAAAATTTGTTCTAATTGATCCTCTAAAGTATTGAATTAATTAATTTTGGTCCCTAAAGTTTCAAGTTTATTAATTTCAACCCCTAAAGTTTGGAATTAATTAATTTTGCCCCCTTAAAGTTTTGAATTATTAATCCTAAGGCCCCTAAAGTTTAAAACTAATCAAAATATGCAAAACTGGTGATTCTATTTCTCAAATTTTGGTACTAAAGACTCTTTTAAAAAATATAATATTCGAAAGTTAGTTAATTGAAGTAACATGTTGCCAAAGCAACCTCTCTTGTGAAAATTGACTAACTTAGAATGTTAAAAAGTGTTTGTGCATATGTTATTCATGGGAATATTGGTCGGCCCAAAGAAAGGTCAATATTTAGCCGAATACACGTGCACCTGTGGTGATAAGCGTGTGATGATTATTTAGTTTAATGTGTGATCAATAAATCAGTCTAAAGAAAGGTTTATTGATTGACACGTTGTTTTATCGTTAATGTTTGATCACTACGCCAAGAGTACCGCTTACAAGTCAATATCTCTGTCCAAAGACTGGATATTGATGTTGTGCTTGGTATCTTGTGATGGGTCCTACCACTATTTGAGATTATTATTATTTGCATATTAAAGATATTAATGTGAGCTATTCATAATAAATGTTTTCTAATTCAGTTTCAGGTTCTGCTGCTAATATCTCTGCTAGCATCAATTCAATTCCAATGTTAAATGGCACAAACTTTAGGGCATGGCAAGAGAACGTTATGATTGTTCTCGGAGTCATGGACCTAGACCTTGCTTTATGGGGTCGATCAACCTGTTACACTTACTGATAAGAGTACCTCTGATGACAAGAGGGAAATAGAAAAGTGGGAACGATCAAACCGCATAAGTTTAATGGTCATGAAGCGTGCTATTCCAGAAGCATTCCGGGGCACTATGTCCGATAAGGTGACTACGGCTAAGGGTTTCCTTGAGGACCTTGAGAAGAGGTTTGCCAAGAATGAAAAGGCTGAAACAAGTACACTTTTGGCAAATCTTGTCTCAATGAGGTATAAAGGGAAAGGAAACATTCGGGAGTACATTATGGAAATGTCTCACATTGCTTCAAAATTAAAGGCACTCAAGTTGGATTTATCTGAACACTTGTTGGTGCACTTGGTTCTGATATCCCTTCCGGCACATTTCAGTCAATTCAAGGTGAGCTACAACTGTCAAAAGGACTCATGGTCTCTTAATGAGCTCATCTCACACTGTGTCTAGGAAGAGGAAAGACTGAAGCATGAGAAGACAGAAAGTGTTCATTTAGCCACCAGCTTTAAGGACAAAAGCAACAAGAAAATGAAGATTAATAAGGAAGTTGCGGGTACGGCACCGCAAAAGAAACAGCATAGGAACCAACTGAAGGCGGTTGTTTCTTCTCTGGAGCTGCAGGTCATAAGAAGAAGAATTGCACCAATTACGACGCATGGCGTGTAAAGAAAGGTACTCTTCTTCATTTGGTTTGTTCTGAGGTTAATTTAACTTCGATACCTAGACATACATGGTGGATAGATTCTGGTGCAACAACTCACATCAGTATGTCTATGCAGGGTTGCCTGAGTTGCCGAAAACCAAGTGATGGTGAAAGATACATCTATGCTGGCGACGACAATAGAATGGAAGTAGAGGCAATAGGAAAATTTAGATTATTGTTAAAGACTGGATTTTATTTGGATCTTGTTGAGACATTTATTGTACTGTCTTTTAGACGGAATTTGATTTCTATTTCTGTTTTGGACAAATTTGGTTATACTTGTTCATTTGGAAATGGAAAATTTAGTTTGTTTCATAATTCAAAATTGGTTGGTTCTGGTTCTTCATCAGGTTATGATAATCTTTATTCAATTGATATAATTGCTTCTTATAATGAAACCTTGCATGTAAGTACTCGAGGTGTAAAGTGAAAATTAAATGGAGAGAATTCTGCCTCGTTGTGGCACAAGAGATTAGATCACATCTCCAAAAGGAGAATTGAGAGACTTGTGTCTGACGGGATTCTCGACCCTCTTGACTTTACAGATTATGATTTGTGTGTCAACTGTATAAAGGGAAAACAAACCAATAAAAGGAGATTTCAAGCCAATAGGATTTCGGACGTC